GTTTGTCTTATGAGGAAGGGTTAGACAGACTGGGCTTGTTCCAACTTAAGTTTAGAAGAGTAAGAGGTAATACGATTGAAACATGCAAGATCCTGAGGGGTCTTGACAGGGTGACTGCAGAAACCGAGTTTCCACTGTGGGAGAATCTCGGACTCTCTGTTTATAAATCGGAGGCGCCCAGTTAAAACAGAGACGACTTTTTTTCCCTCTCAGAGTTTTAGAGTCTTTGGAATTTCTTCCTGAAAAGGTGATAGAAGCAGAGTTCTTGAATATTTGTAAGGTAGTGTTAGATTCTAGTTATGCAAGAGGGTCAAGAAGTTACCAGAGGTGGAGTTATCGGATGCGGTTTTATTGAATGTGGAGCAGGCTCGAAGCGCTGAATATCCGGCCTGCATCGGTAAAAAGCAAGCAAACCAAAGTCTTGAGAAGCGTAAGGATAGCATTACATGAAATTCCAAGCTCGCCAAACCCTTTCTGGGCGTGGGCCTGAGAAAGAGAGAAGCGACTTGCAAACAATCAGATCGCAGACTGACAGTGTGTTTGTGTATCCGCCCCAGTGGGTGGGAGGCAAGGTTTGAGAAAAAGCGCGGGCTGGCTGGCCGCACTCGGAAGGAGATCTTCCATTTGGATGTAAACAAGTCCGGAGGCGGTTCTGAGAGAAAGCGAAAGTAAACTTTACGGTTGTGTTCAGCTCGTACCTGCAGCAGTTTATTCTGAATTTGAAACGCAGCACAGTGTGTCTTGATTGAGTGGCGCTGATGTGTTGCTTGGAGGCGGCGGAACAACTGTTCTACGACCAAGCATGAGCGGTATTCAGTAATGTTCGGGTGGAGGGGGTGAAGGTGAGTCCTTTACTGAGGACGTCGAGGGTGGGCGGAGCGGCGCCTACTCCTCTGATGCTGCCTGACCTACCGTATTCCTCCAGCTCTACGCCTTGTTAGCGCTGACTCCAGCATCTGTAGTTCCTGCTGTCTCTGTATTGCTCGGTCTCTCTTTGAACAAAAGAAGATCATGACAACCCGACAGTTCCTGCTTGAGGTTCTCGATGAACTGAGCGAAGACGATTTCGAAAGGTTCCTGTTCTTTCTGGGGGACAACGTAGAATTTAAACCGATACCACGCGGGCGGCTGGAGGGGAAATCTCGTCAGCAAATGGCTTCTCTACTCCAGGATTTTTATGCCGAAGAAGCTCAGGATATCTGTAGAAAGATCCTGAATCAAATTCCCAAGGTTGATCTGGTAAAGAAAATGTTTGGAGACGGAAATACGAATGGCTCCAAGGGCACTCCAGGTTATATTACACAGCACGTTATTTACACAAAATTAAACAAAAGAACCGCGGATACAAAAGCAGAAGTTGCTGGAAAAGCTCAGCAGGTCTGGCAGCATCTCTGAAGGAAAAAACAGATTTAACGTTTCGGGTCCGGTGACCCTTCCTCAGAACCCTGTTGCTGCCAGACCTGCTGAGCTTTTGCAGCAACTTTGTTTTTGTTCCTGATTTACAGCATCCACAGTTCCTTTGGTTTTTAAAGAACCGCGGATGCTGGCGATCTGAAACAAGAACAGAACCTGAGTTTCGCCGACAGTCCTGTTTTTGTTCGATTACATAGGCGCTACTGGAAACTGACAAAGGGAGAAATGAAATAAACAACGAGGGTTTTTTGGTTGGCGGGGGGAAGGAGTGGGGAGAACGTACCACAGATATCAAGACGAACACTTCCCCCCCCCTTTCTGTGCACCCTCTTTGTATTCCCGTCCCCCGTATGTCCTCCCCAGCTGTGTCCCTTCCGTGTATCCCCCCTGTATTCCACCCTCCCCTCATCCTCCCTGTATCCCACCATCCCGTCCCCCTTGTATCTCACCCTAAGCGCACGGTGGCTCAGTGGTTAGCACTGCTGCCTCACAGGGACTGAGGTTCGATTCTACCCTCGGGCGACTGCCTGTGTGGAGTTTGCACATTCTGTCTGTGTGGCTTTCCTCCCACAGTCCAAAGATGTGCAGGCTAGGTGGATTGGCCGTGCTAAATTGCCCATAGTGTTTAGGTTAGGTGGGTTAGACGGGTTAGACATAGGGAAAATTCAGGGGTAAGGGAATGGGTCTGGGTGAGATGCTCTTTAGAGAGGCAATGTGAATCTGTTGGGCCAAATGGCCTGTTTCCACATTGTCGGGATTCTATGATGTCCCTCTTCTGTCACAACTTTCTCTGTTCCCATGTATCCTCCCTACCTCACCCGCTGTTGTCCCTGCCTCTCACCCTTATGTGCCCATCTTATATCCTCCCCTCCACTGTGGATCTTGCTTGTATTGCATCCTCCCCCACCTCATCCTTCCTTTATCCCACTCTCTCCTCCCCACTGTACATTCTCCCTGTATGCCACCCTCCCTTCCTTACTAGTCTCAGCCCTTTCCCCACTGTGTATCAATCCAGTACATTAGTTATAAAATGGATAATTGATCAAACATCAACTGCTATTGGCAGTGTGTTCCAAACTTCTACCACTGTGTGCGCACACACATTACTATAATGCTCCTGGAAGATCTGTCCCTATTTTTCTGACTATCCCCCCTCCTTCCTAGACTCCAGTTTCTCTTTACATTTTCAAGATGCTAAGTTACTAAATCAAATCACAGTCCTCATAGGGTCCACGTTCCTTGAATGCCTTAATATCCAAAGATATCTGGCAAAAGATGTAAATTGTCTCTGATCGATCCTTTTAACAATAACCTACTGAAGTTTTCAGAGAATTAATTTTTAATTTAGAAGTTACCTGGACCTCATGTTGGGTTCAGGGGAACCTTGGTGGAAGTGAGTCAGCTATACAGGCTTTGGAGTTGACTGGACTTGAATTCTAATATCTAATATCTTGTTCCTTTACATAGTACAGAAGAAGAGAGAGAGACTGGAGGGCTGTGAATTTGATGGAGTTCTGTCTGATCCTTTGGACAATGAAATCATCATGTCAAAGAAAAACAGTATGTAAAATCTCACTCAAGAATTCCTTCAAAATTACAGGTGTATGGAATATTTCAAACAGGATATGGAAGATACAAAATAACAATGGTCTCATTGTAATAAATGCTCAAACAGTTCTCAGCTGTTGATTTTTGTTCATCCTATAAATAATGCCACATCTGGCAATAAATCTACAGAATTTGTGGGGGCAATGGCTCCTATGGGTTTTGCTTGCCCAACTTCCACCACTATCCTCGTGAGCACTAACTGATTGACAGGCTTGGTGACCTGTTCTTGTTTTCTGCCTTGCTCCCTGGTGGCAGAATGTGGTAAATTGGTCAAATGTGGTGAAGTTGGCCTGGTACCTCCTCACCAACCCTGTTTCAAATGTGGCTACTTCCTTTCTATTGTAGCAGAGGATGATCCTACTGTACAGTTGCCAAGTGGCCCTGGGTACCTACCACTGATGGGACAGGCCTCCTGTCCTACAGAACTAATGACCATAAAAAAAAAATCCTCATTGAGTGTGTGTAAATTCCACTATTACCCGCAGCTGACTTTGGAAGAAAATGGCACTAGCATATTAACTTTGATGGACTTTGCTGATCACAATCAAACTTTCATCAATAGCATACATACATGGGCACTTTCCAGCAGGATTCACTGGATAGTAAATGACTGGTGGGGCTTGAGAGAGACTTTTGAGACATTCACTGCCATTTAAACCTCCTCTGGCTGCATGTTTCATTCTAACTTTTTTTTTTTTTTTTTTTTGCAGAGATGGAGCCAAAGATATTAACAGACCAAAAACTAATGCAATTGGCTGAAAACATGGGCCATAATTGGCAGCAAATTGGAATCCAATTCCTGGGTCTGCAAAGCTATGAAATTGAGCAGTGTGAATCTCAGCACCTGTTGGTTGTCATGCAGAGATTTGAAATGCTCAAATGCTGGAGGAACCGCGAAAAGGAGGGAGCAACTGCTCTCAAACTTCACTCCATTCTGGCTAACAAGGAATGCCCCATTAGTTCTGCACAATTTGATTTTCTTCAAAAAGGCAATTAGTGACCAAAGTCAAAGAGAAGAATACTTTTGTAAAAAATTTTAAATGAGTCTTAAATTTTGTACATTTTAAATTAAAGAAAAAAGAATATTATCCATGACTGATGCCCATATCTTTTTGCATTAAACTGAAGATACTACTGAAAAGGAATAGCTGAACTCAAACCTGCAATGCTGTAACTGCATATAGGACTGGTAGATTTTTCTGCAATTTTCACATTTAACACATTGGTGTGAACGTTTTCCCCCCCCAAGCGACAAGCTAGCTTTTTTTCCTTCATGTTTAATTGTCAGTTGAACATAGAAATAGGAGGCCACTCAACAAATCATGACTGATGTAACACCACCTTCCCACTTTTACCCCATATCCCTTAACATCTTTTGTTAACAGAAATCTGTCAGTTCAGATTTAAAGTATAATAACTAATTGAGCATTAGTTTTTTTTTCCTGTAGATAATAAGTTCCTCCAGCTCCACACTTATCTACAACCTTCTATCTTCCTTGGTCTGTAGAACAGTTCCTTAATTTCACTTCAGAAAAGGTCTGCCTCCACATGCATGGCTATGCTCCCTGCCCTCAGCCCATCACCTCCATTCCCAGTCCTAGAATCTCCAAATAGTGGAAATAGTATCTCTGCTATGTATTCCCTTTCACACCCTTAAAAGATGATCAAAATCACCTTTTAACCTTCTGAATTCTAGGGTTGACAACCCTAATTTGTTTACTCTCTCATTTTAACCTTTGGAATCAATATATCTCTGCAGCGTAATCTTCAAGGCCAATAACTCTTTGCTAAGTATGGAGACCAGAGCTGCTCACACTTCTCCAGGTGTCATCTGTAACCAGGGTGGAGTGTATATGTAACAAACAGTGCAGGAGAAACTCAGCAGGTCTGGCAGCACCTGTGGAGAGAGAAAATATGAACACTTCATATCTAATGACTCCTCAGAACTTCACCAGTTCTGCAGAAAACAAAACAACAAATCATTTCAGAAAGTAATTTTTATTGTAACATGCATGGCTTTAGCAAGAAGTTGAAAATAGAGGATTTCTCATTTATACATCTTAAAACTATACCCCTTCAAAATCCCTAGCACACACAAGCTCAAGCACTATTACAATTCCCAATTTCAATAGTGGGTTAATTTTTTTCTTGTACTTTTTTTTAAAAAAAAAAAAAGCACTGACGACATGCTGTTGTCCTTTCATTCAATAATTGACAGATGGAACTAGGTATTTTCTGGTTAGAATTTATTTACTTTGTCTTGTTTCTTCCAGAGGGAGAGGAATGCTCTATTAGTAGGTTCCAAATTTTTCTGATGCCCTGGCACTTACAGCTTTTAACACCAGCAGTCCCTCACACATGAGGAAAAGTTTCTTCCACTCTCAGGATGTCAGTGGGTAGCTGTACAAACCCATGCAGCTATGCAGGCTGTTACACTTGGGGCAGATGGTGGTCACGGGAAGAGGGTGTGACAGCACATTCCTGTCACTGTTTCCACCTGGGTTTCATTTCCCCCACCCCCCACCGTGGCAAGTCTCAAGGTGCTTGGCACCATCCTGGATGCACCTCCTCCACTTGTGTCTTGGGCCATGATTCCCAGGTGTTTGTTGGAATACCACACTTTGTTAGTGAGACCTTGAGGGTATCACTGAAGCACTTCCACGACACTGCAACTCAGCTGTCATCAGGCAAAATTTCCTCAAGTTTAAAAAAGGAGATAAATCATTTCCAAAACTAAAAGCAAAAAGTCAGATAGAAAAAAAAAGAATCTAGGTAGCTTCTTTGCATTAAAGAGGGAGTTATATTTTGGAACAAAATAAAAGAGAACACTGAAAGCCTGTTAGCCTAAACCACACTGCCATTTGATTGCAGAAGAACTAGAAAATAAGAGAAAGCAAAGCATAAATGTAGAAAGTTACTTTTGAGATTTTGACCCCCCCCCCCCCCCCCAAAAATAACAAACAAGTAATAGTTGGTAATGCTTGGAACCACATGGGAATGTGATTTCTGTTTTAGAGATCTATACATAATCCCAAATCTGATAATAATCCCCCTCAGATTCACCCACGCAGCAACCAGGACATTTAAATTTAATCACAGAATTCAAAAAATTGTAAGTTGTTTTTTGGAACTTCAACTGGGAAACCAGCTGCCAGCAACAATTCATCCTGGAAGATTCCATTTATCCTTCATTTGGAAGTCTTCAGCATCTTGAAACTTTTCCACAGAGCTTTTTGTTGACATTGCCACTCCAAAATCTGGACATTGTAGCTCAGATAAAACCACTGAAATACAAAAGCAGATCAGAAGTGTTCAAACTGTACAAGTTATTTCACAAGGAGTACAAAACCAATTCCAGAGTGGGAAAGGACAATGATGTTGAACTTGTGGCAAGACACTTTTTAGACCTCAGCTGGGAGTATTGTGTACAGTTGTGGGTGCCACATAAGAAAGATGTGAATTCATGGGAAAGAACACAAAACAATTTACAAGACTAGTTCCAGGAATGAGAAACTTTAGTCATGAAGATAGATTATGGAATTCTCTCAGTGTGGAAGCAGGCTAATCAGCCCATCAAGTCCACCTCATCCAGACTCACCTATAACCCTGCATTTCCCACAGCTAAATCAACCTAGCCTGCCCATCCTTGGGCAATGAGCAATTTAACATGGCCACTCCACCTAACCTGCACATCTTTGAACTGTGGGAAGAAACCAGAACCCCCAACAGAATCCCACGCAGACATGGGGAGAATGTGCACACTCCACACAGTCACCAAGGCTGGAATCGAACCCAGGTCCCTGGAGCTGAGGCAGCAGTGCTAACCACTGAGCCACTTGATGTTGGGACTGTTCTCCTTGGAGAGAAGGCAGAGGAAATTTGATTGAGGTTTACAAAATCCTGAGTGGGCTGGACAGAGAAGAGGAGAAGCTATTCCCACTCATGAAAGGAAAAGAATGGGGGGTCGGGCATATATAAAATGTGATGTGCAAAGGAAACAAGGGTGATGTGAGGGGAAAAAAAAGACGACGACTTCACACAGCAAGTAGTTAGGTATGGAATGCATTGCAGGCAGGTTCAATTGAGGTATTCAAGAGGGAATTGGCTGATTATTTGGATAAAAATAATGCACAAGGGCATCAGGAAAAGGCAGGAGATTAGCACTAGGTGATGCTAGTTTAACAAACCAATGCAGACATGGGCCAAATGGCCTCCTGCACTAACAATTGAGATAGTCCTTTCATCCACTTTCTTGCCTTTTCTCCATAACCCTGGATTCCCCTATTGATTAAACCTCTCAGTCTTTAAGCATTAAGGCTCAGTCTCGACAGCCCTCTGTAGTGAAGATTTCCACACATTCAGCATCCTGAGAGAGAAGAAATTCCTCATCTCCATCTGAAATGGGTGACCCCTTACTCAGTTTATGCCTTCGGTCCTAAACTCTCCCAGAAGGGGAAACAAGGGAGACAATGGACATAGTGGTATTATTGCTAGAATGTTAATTCAGAAAGTCAGCTAATGGTCTTGGGAGTATACCATGCCAGACAGTGGAATTTGAATTCAATTAAAAAAAAGTTAAGAAACAACTGAAGACCACAAAACCATTGTGGATTGTTTTTAAGAAACAAAACTCATCTGGCTCACTAATATCCTTCAGGGAAAGAAACCTGCTATTCCCACTCGATCTGATCCTCACTCCAGACCCACAGCAACATGGTGGACTTTCAACTGCTCTCTGAAATGGCCTAGCAAGCCACTCAACTGTCTCAATCACTACAAAGTCTCAAAGAAATGTCACCAGATGGAATACCGGGCACCAACCTAGGCACAGCACAGGGATTAGTGGTTCAAGAATGTAGCTCACCACCATTTTCTCAAGGGCAACTAGGAACGGGTAATAGAGCTAGCCAGCCTGTGACACCCATGTCCTGCAAGTGGATTAAAAAAAAAGCAATCGTTCCACATCTAACCTCTCAAGACCCTTGTATTTTTCAGTGCGGTCACCTCTCATTCTTAC